GCATAATTTCAGGTGTGCTCCTTTCAAAAGATGGCTAAGGTGAAAAAAAAAAACAAGTATTCTTAAAGTATTTTCTTTATTTGCATGTGCAAAGCCTATTTCAAGGGGAAACAGAAATTCACATATATGGTTTAAAGAATAAATCCCCTAGGGGATCTGGGATGAGTGTCCAATCAGTTGCTTACATTTGTGCTATAACTTAGCACCTAAGACAATATTATGTTTACACAATACTATCTGAATTTGATGTTAGTTTATTATAGGAGCTGAATATTATTAAATCTGGAAAATACCAGATAAGATTTCTTATCTCATCTAAATAGAAAGTTAATCAAAAGGAAGGAAAGAAAATAAGTGGTAATAACAGAACCTATATTATCTCAGTTTGAATATCAAGTATTGTTTATGAATCACAGTTACTTCTACTTTTCAAGTATCAGAAACGATTGCCAATAATGGAAGATATTAAGAAATTTAAGGTTGGGGAACATTTTCAAGACAGATTCCTGCAATGTAACACAAATAAAGTCTATGTTATAAAGAACATTAGGAAGTTGATGCTGTGAGAATGTGTTTATTGTTTTCCTTTTTATTAACCTTACTAGTTTACTACAATGGCAATTTGATTTTCTCTGTAAATAACCACTTGTTGCTGTCAAAAAGGTCAGAAATCTATGCATACCAGAAAGAAAATGAGTGTATGAGACTCGCATGTTAACCCTCCCTATGGAAGTAACAGTCTCTATTTCCCCACCCGACTCCCCAAAAAAGCCAACATGCTCAAATAAATTTGTTAGTCTCTAAGGTGCCACAAGTACTCCCCATTCTTTTTTCTCCTGATACAATGTAGTTCAACAGATTTAAAATGTGTTTCCCTCTCTTCCTGCCATCAAAAAATACATCCCAATTTATTACTTTCAAATGGTGGCATTTACTATATTTGTGGCCCAGACAATCAAGCCTGCTGGTTCTGCATCTCCAGGTGAAAGGTCAGCCTGACAGTAAGATCCCAAAATAATGCAAATATTCTTCAGCAGCTAATAGCAGAACTAAAAAAACCCCATGCATTTCCAGCTTTAGCAGAGCTCCAGAAGCATCTTTCACTCCCCCTCCCCCCATCCATATTTTTACATCCCACAATGGTTACTACAGTCTTAGGACTCTAATCAGTCTACATTGTATATCAGTGTTAGGGAGTGTTAAGTAAGTACTAGTCCAGAATATAGGCACTGTGACTGAAAGAGTGCCCCAAACCCCCTTTCAAACAATGCAGCTACAAGTATTCTGTTCCCCTTTTTTCTATTTTTAACAGGACTTACTCCCAGGCCTACCTTCCTCCAGCCCCACAGCCGCCATTTTATATTTTGCCTATTTCTCCTCCTGGTAGTCCTCTGGGAGACTATCTAGTCTTCTTGGCACACCAATCTTCCATAGGACTTAAGCATATGCTTAACTTTGCTTATGTGAGCAGCAGCATTGGCCCCATTTGAAATTAATGGTAGAACTCCCTTTGACTTCAATGCAGCCAGGATGTCTCCCATTGATTTCAACTGGGCTACTTCACATAAGAATGGCCATACTGGGTCATTTCAGTGGTCCATCATTATGCTATCTTCTGACAGTAATCAGTGCTAGATGCTTCAGAGGAAATGAACAGAACAGGCAATTATTTAGTGATCCATCACATTGTCCAGACGCACCTTCTAATAGTCAGAGATTTAGGGATACCCAGAACATGGGATTGTGTCCCTGACCCTCTTGGCTAATATCCCTTGATGGACCTATCCCCTATAGACTTATCTAAATTTTTTTTTGACCCAGTTATACTTTTGGCCTTCACAACATCCCTTGGCAACAAGTTCCACAGGATGACTATGCATTGTGTAGAAAAGTATTTCCTTATGTTTGTTTTAAACTTGCTGACTACTAATTTCATTGGGTGACCCCTACTTCTTGTATTATGTAAAGGACTAAATAACACTTCCATATTCATGTTCTCCACACCATTCATAATTATATAGGCCTCTATTATACCCCCCACCTTCGCTGTCTCTTTTCTAAGATGAACAGTTCTAGTCCTTTTAATCTCTATTCATATGGAAGATGTTCCATATCCTAATAAGTTTTAATGCCCTTCTCTATACCTTTCCCAATTCTACCTGTCTGAGCAAAGTCACACCTGCTTAAGTGCTTGGTGGATAAATACAGTAACATAATTCCTATAAGCCTGATTATCACACATAGCAGATAGGATAGACGGAATCACAGACATCACCCATGGGAAGGAACTGTCATGGCATACTTAATCTGGCATTCTGTGACCACTGGGAAGGAGCTGTGTTTCCCTCAGTGTAGTTACAAGGATTATCGAGTCTGGGGAATTTGCAAAACTTCCATAAACACAGCATTTATAAAGTTCCTATTGGCTGGGTTGGGACATGGATGCTTCTTAGGAATACTTGCGTTTATTTTTTTAGCTTTATTTGAAAATGTTCATTAAGTATTCTGCAGTTTTTAAAACAAATCTTATATTTCCTACATTAGGCCGCAGTATCACCCTTAAAATATTAGTGATTTACTTTGTTACTTCTGGAAATAATAAAAAATCTAAAGCTAAGTTAGTGTATCAAGGAGCATCGAGTTACGAAGATGTACATGAGACTCTTAGGAAGATTATTTTGAGAGGGTCTTTGTACTTTTCTATAGCATGACACTTTGAAAAAAATTATTTGAGGGGACAATTTCCAGCCATAGTTGCACGTTCATGTATTAGAGGGCAGAATGTGACCTTAAATGCCTATTCTTGGTAGAGATGGCTAATAAAATATATAGAGGTCATTTTTGTGAGCTTAATCTTCTGGTTGTATCATGATCTAAATCAAAGCAATGATATTTGCATTTCTAAATATATTCAGCTACCTTGTTACTGAAGGTTTGCTTATAGATGTTACATTAATTACCTTTTCCTATTTTTAGCAAACCTTTCATAAGGAATATTTTTCAAAAGGCAAGTCTTAAGGGAACAAACTGATTGTGAATAGAAAAGTCAAAGATGATTATCTATCAAATAAAGTGATCAAAACACAATGACTATTTTGACATATACACAGATTGATAAAGTGTTACATGATATTTCAGTTGGCAGGCAAACACTCACGACTCTAAATCTTCACCAGTTTTTTTGTCTTACAGATGAAATGGACAATTAACTGCTCTGTCTCCTTTAACTGATTTTTTTAAGAACTAAATGTTGGCAGATGTTCGCTGCATTTGTGTTTCTGAGTTGTGCTGTCCCAGCTATGTGCAGATAGCAAACACAGCAGACCTTGATAGAACCACCCAATAACCACAGACCCATTTAGTAGCGACAGCACACGGTCAGGTTTATTGTTGACAAAGCACAGCCCTAGCTCCCCGGGTTAATGTCTACAGTTACACTAGCACATGTATGCCTGTGACAATGGTCACAGCTCAGTAAATGGTGGGACTTTCCATTCCGCCCTTGGCTGGCCAAAGACACTTCCTCCGAGACCTCTCTTCATACACTGATACAAACAGGTTACCTATTGCCTCTCTGATGTAGTTAGTTAGATGTAGCTTATACATGGGTTCAATCAAAACATCTCTATTCATCATGCTGACATCCTGACCTTATATTTAAATAGGGTGGGGGAGGGAGAATCAGGCATCTTCAGAGAGTGTGTTTGTACCATACTTGGTATCTGTGTGTTCTGGTATCACCCTTCTGGAATGTGCTTTCCTGAGTGCCTCATACTTCTTAGGAATGTGTCTGTTTTTGCAATATCAGCCCTGTTTTTGCCAGTTTCTGTGAGCTTGAATGCAAGCAGAGTCTGACTTCTGCTCACAGCCCTGACTTTTGCTAGCTTTGCTTTATATTACAGGGCCTAACTACCACTCTAGTTCAGGTGTCAGGCCTCATAACAGGACTTTTGTACCAGGTCCCATTTTTCAGGTTCTCTCTACTACACAAAGAATATAATAATGAAGGAAAAATATCAAGGAACCACTTATAAATTAAGATTTTAAGCTTATTGTAGCCTGTAGTTCTCATGATACATTTTCATGCATACATGATTGTCTCTACTGCCTGTTGAGGTCAAAGACTTTTCTGAGGGAGATTTAATAGTTGGAAAAACATTTTTAATAGCTCTTCATTCCTGTCAACATTTGCACTATGCATATTAAAATTCTCTGTACCTCATTGACTAAAACATATTTTAACATTCCTCTGTGATAGCATTTGTATAGCAGCGAGAACTTAATAGAATTCAAGTACTGCATTTTTTTTTATTTTTAATATATCTAGGCGAGCTACAACCCAGCATGACTCAGTTGAAATGAGCTGCGTTGAACTTTTGAATATATAATGTCTTGATTTAATGATTTTTTCTATAATGGCCTGCTGTTAAGTGATAAAACAATTACATTTTTAGCAATATTACAAATGGTTTGCTTTGAAAAAATCTCCATCCTAGTGTACATTATCCAGTTTTAATAAAATTCCCTGTACCTAATGAAAAAAATTAAACTAGCTGAAGCTAGAAGGTACTCAGGTGGAGCTACTTGAGTATATATGAAACTATTCATTCTTTTCATTGCATTTTGCAGAACTTGTGTGCTGGGTTCACATCAAATTGGAAGAATCAAATGTTCCATTCACAGTGCTGAGCTTTCTCTCCTGAAGATTAATGTACATATTTTGTTTTCCCACGTAGATGAGGGATGATGGCACTTTATAAGTAATAGCACAGGAACAGAATGTTTCAGATAACAATGAATATCCACTTCTCAGATTAAATCTCATCTTTGGCACTTATGAGCCTTTCAGTTCTCTACAGTGCTTTCTCTTAAGGTATTCTCAAAGCAAGCCTGCATTGAATGCCAGTTTAGAGGGTGCAGAAATCCTATCCTACATTTTCAGGCTGAAGAAATTAATTTGAATTATCTGTAAATAAACTCAAAAGATGTCAAGCTCCTACCTTTCGGGAATGTATTTCTTTCACGTACAATGGAAGTAGAAATTCAGATATGCCTTCAAGTCGAATTCCTTTTTTGGTGACTCTCAGATTCCCCATTCCATCCTACAAACAACAACAAAAATATTTCACTTTTGTAAGTGACCACTGTGAAGAAATAAAAACCATTCAGCCCAAAGTCTAGAAGCAGTGATTGCAAAGAATATGGAAGAGGGAAGTAAGGTGAAAGGGACTCTCTGAAACTGATCTGAGAGATCAAACTTTTCATACACTTGTGGATTAAAAACTTATTCAACTTTTCAAAAGCTTCAAAAATATTTTTTAAAATTAACAAATAGTCATCCAGTAGGTTCACTACCTTGAAGATAAACATTACTTTTAAAATTACTAGTCAAAGTCTTTGCTGGGTCTGCAGTGGCAGGAGAATGAAGGTTTTTGAAGCCTCCTGGAAATTCCAGACACATAGCAGTTTTGAGTAAAAATAAAGATGGTTACAAAGGACCTATATTTAACATTCTATCTGATATGAAAAGAGGCATTTTACACCTGTGTTGATGACAAATCCTGCTTTCTTCTTTGTAATTCTGTAGCAAAACTAATACTATTCCACTGAGCAAAGCCCAGGTCAGGATCTGGGGAGCCCATGCAGCATGCTACCACTCACTGGAGAATTGAGGACAGCTTCACCAGCTCTAATTTTATAAGAATGCATTATCCATGCCTCACTAGCATCTCTTCAGTGGGGCAGGGAGGCTACTCCAGGCCCAGAGGATGGATAAGCAGCTACGGAGCAGCATTGCCACTGTACAGTGGTTTGTGCAAAAGCAGCAGTCACTAAAACATAGCTCAGGAACTAGGGTTGTGAAATATTAGCTGGGATAAACATTGGCCTGAAAGTTCTGAGCATGAGTGCTTTATTTTCTCTTTTATTTTCTTTGAAACTAAATTGGAGTACAATCAAAGAATGGCAAAAGAATAAAAAAAAGTTGTTGTTTAAATACAATTTTGTTTATGATAATACAATTGAAAGAGCCTGCTCCTGCTTAGTTATGGCAAAATTCCCAGTGGTTTCATTGGGAACAGAACTGGGCTGAAAGTAATAATTAGTGGAGACAGGAAGCTTCAAAAGATGGCTGCTAAATCAGTGTACTCAGCATGTTTTTCATCAGGCTTTTTAGCACACATTTTCAAATAGACACACGGTACCTATTTGAATAAAAGAAAAAAATATTGTCATAAATATGTAATTATATAACAAAGCCCAGATCCTGTGTCCACTTATGAGGACCTACTAGGACCACAGAAACAAAAAAATATGCATGGCACAAGTGTCCCCAGCTGCTGACGACATGACACAGTAAGAAAGGTGCCTCAGGCTCGGCACCCCACTGTCCATGGGGAAATACTCTGCAGGGCTCTCCACAGGAGGACACAGAATGATTATGTAGAATGTTGGGGCATAACCAGTGAGGCAACACACAACAGCAATCCAACTAGGCTAAAATCCCACATGAGCACATCAACCACTTCCCATATACTAGATTGCAATGGCTGCAGGCATGCTACACAGCAGCTTCTGTAGATGGACCTGAGGGTTTTTCTCCTCAAGCCCAAGACTTACTTAATACCCAGATTCCACTTGAATATGAACCCTTACTTTGCATTTTGCATGAATGCTCCCAGAGTCACTCATGAATCACACAGATAAAGACACCAGCCAAATACCCATAGCTCCCAGGCTTGTACCCAGGGCCGGCTCCAGGCACCAGCTTACCAAGCAGGTGCTTGGGGCGGCCACTTCGGAGAGGGGCGGCACGTCCAGCTGTTTGGCCACAATTCGGCAGACAGTCCCTAACTTCTGCTCGGAGCGAAGGACCTCCCGCCGAATTGCCGCCACAGATCGCGATCGTGGCTTTTTTGTTTGTTTGTTTGGCTGCTTGGGGCGGCCAAAACCCTGGAGCCGGCCCTGCTTGTACCCTAGGAATATACCATCTTGAGCTGCTCAGAACCCTTTCTTGAGCAATGCAAGTTTATTAATTGATGATTAATTTATTAATCCACTTCATTAATGGAAAGTGGATATACACCAGCCTTTGTAACCTGAGCAGATTTACCAAGCACTTCAGTCAAACTCACTGGTAAGGATAAACTCTAGAATAAGTTTATTGATTTAAAAGATATAATCACTTAAAATCTGTGATAGGTAAAGAGTCAGAGTGGTTACCAAAATAAAATAAAATAAGCACACAGTCTAAACTCTCAGCCCCGTTAGACTGGTCAACAGCTAAATTAAGCAGTTTTTCTCACCCCACTGGATATTGCAGGTTGATTAGAGTTTTTCATATGCAAGCTTTTTCCTCTTTGCTCAGGGACCAGTCTCTTCAACTCCAGTGTTCTCGTTGCCTTCAGCATAGGTGGGGGAGAAGAGAAAGGATGAAGCATGGGTCGGTCCACTGTGTCCTGTTTTATACACTTAGTCCATGTGCTTGGAGAACATAAGTCCAGGCATGTCGGGCGGACATTGCTAGGTCACCAGGCAAGGTTGAGCACTTGCCCTGGCTATAGCCTTGTGCAAGTGAGTCACTGAATTGTAGCTCCCTTGCTGGACAATGGCTGTTGATGGTTATTCGACACCCGCCTGAGCATTGGTTATTCCTCTAGTTATTGTCTTTGGGGAGCTAGTATCTGGGTGTTTACCATACCCACAGCATATTTTAGTGACAATCACACAACACAATTCTTATAACTTCATATGAATTAATGATATACATATTTAGATGAAACAGTGGGTTTCAGCAGATCATAACCTTTCCTATGATACATTACAAGGCATTCTTTTTATGCAATATCACAACTGTATACAAATGATGAATATGAGGGTTACAGGGTTCTCCCCTGGGGTGTAGAGTGTAATAATCTCTTTATGGCTGGTGTAGAATCCACATCTAAGGTAACCCTAAACCCTGCTGTTCCACAGCTACATATAGGCCTGTTTGAGCTGTTCACAATCCCTTGTGCAAGATCAAGTAGCACTCAGGTTGCTTTAGATTATCCTGAAGGATTGGTGTGGTGCAGAGCTGCCCCGGGAACAGGGGAGTGCTGAGGTGACCTTTCTTGCCTCCTGATCTGAGCTGTGTTATCCTCAGCTGTGGCTGTGAGCTTTTGAGGCCTTTGGATTTTCCAGAAACAAACTACAAATCTTAGTTTCTACAAGGATTCCAAAGAACACTAATTCTCCCCTTTCTCCCCCAGCTTGCTATTCAAGTGTTTTTTTTTTTCCAGAGAATATAAACCATGTAAATCTTATCTGGGATTTTTTTCCAGAGAATGTAAACCATGTAAATCTTATCTGGGATTTAGAAATCTAGAAGATTATCAAATAAGAGTCATATAGAGGCAGTCAGCCAGAGGACGCCTCTTAATTTAGGTAATTCCATTGTTATTTAATAGTTTTAGCACTTGAAATTAAAAGGTAAGTGACCCACCAGACTTCTGGTATGATTCCACCAAAAAAAAAAAGAAACATTGACCACAAGGCCACTAATGAGGAAATTAAAAATACCATACAGTTGGTTCTAGTTTAACAAAAGGTCATAATTTTATTATACCAGTTGTGAAAAGCTATCTATCCAATCTGATTCTCTTTATTTGCTTCCTGGCCATCAGTGGAAAGATGGAGACTTTAATTACTTTCCCCCATATCCCCTGTGATTTGGCCCCCAACTGACACTCCTCAAATCTTCCCTTTCCATAGGTGCAAAATGTGGGCTGTGATTTGGGAAGTGCTCAATCTGAGCTCAGCCCACCCCCCACATCCCAGTTCCTACCCCAATACCATGGCCCTTATAATAGTTACCACAATCAGAGCTGAGCAAATAACTGACTTTTCAGTTTGGTGGCCAAACTGGAAAAAATATCTTCAGATCACACTAAACATTTTAATACATAAGAAAAAGTGCAAATCCCACATACAAGAGCAGGAGGACTTAACCCATAGGTGTTGTACCTGAAACTAACTTAACTCTAGTTGACTAAATTTCAGATTTAGGTTGTCCCTTTAACAGACATACAAACCAAATGCCTCAATTGAATTTATAACACAAATATTTCAGGGATAAGAATTCAGTTAACATCCACAAACAAAATTTACTAAGGGCAGGTCTACACCACAGGACTAAGTTATGCAACTCCAGCTATGTGAATAATGTAGCTGGAGTCGACATACCTTAGGTTGACTTACTGTGGTGTCTACACCGCACTGGGTCGACGGGAGAAACTCTCCCATCGACTTACCTTATGCTTCTCGGAGTTGACAGGAGACCAATCGGCACAGCGTATTGATCCTTCAGTAAGTGGAGACAAGCCCTATGAGAATGATAGCATCTAGACTATATCAGATATTCTCTATTATCTCTCGTTCGTGGCCAGCATTCCTAATCTTTATACGCAGAGTCTGGCTTGCACTAAGTGATGCTGAACAAAATATTATTTTTTTCCCCCAGTATTTCATTGCTCAAGACCTTTATCTTGTACCAACTTCCACCCTATGTCCATGCTTCTACTGAATGTCAGAATAAATTTTAGCATTGCATGTTGCCTTTTGTACCCATTTATATATTGAAGAATATCACACATCTACAAACTCAGGCTATGAACTGTGCTCCCCACCCAAAGAAACCTAGCAAAATGTTAAATGGAGAAATTAACATTAAAGCAAGGTCCTACACTAAAAAGTTGTACAAAATGGTATTGTGGGGTTCAACATCCATTGCACATCTGAAGTCGCATGCTCTAAAGTTCAAGATTATAAGGCCTCAGTATTAAAGACTATAGAAATATGAAGTGTTGTATGCTTCATTTCATACCTTGATAGTGCTTCATGTTACTTTTTACATCTGCTTTCTTTTTGCTTTTAAAGAAATAAGGAGTTTTGTTTTACTATACCACAGTGATGCTCAAACATTTTAGCAGTTTGCCCGTGACTTAGGTGTGTTCTTAGTCCAAGAGGGCTAAAGCACTTAAGGCCTCTTTGAACATTAAAAGTTCAAGAATTTGTTTTAAACTACAATTGCTATAGGAGGGGGAAAGAATCAATTATTCTAATA